TTAATTAATGAATGTAGGTCAGAGATCAATTAGTAAAAGTGAATCACAAAGAGAAACACTTACTTGGATACATCATGGACTGTCAGCAAGTTTACCAAGAGATTATCACCACATGGGGATATTAAAGGACCTCCCTGCCACATGGCGGGAATCCATTGTGTAGGAGTCGGTCATATGGCAAACATCACTTATTAAATTAACCAGCAAAAATGAAATTAGCCAAGTTAATAATTTATACAATCTATCGTTTTCACATTCAAAGGTCAATAAATATAGTGAAATTCCATTAAAACAACCGCCTTATAGAACACTGGGAGGTGAAGTTACTGTCAAAATAAATAATTCAGTACGTTTAAAAGCATTTTCATTATGCATATTTCCCCAATTTATTTATTCAGTAACAAAATTACAAGCCATGCTCTCTTCAAATAATTATAATACAAATAATAAGTTTAGGTTTTAGTGGAATGTATATTAACAGATGAAAAGGTATAAACAAATTATATCTAAGGAAATCTGGGTTATTTTGAGTAGGTCTGTTAAATCACTGTATCAGGAAAAATTTAAAAATAAAAAGGAAAATGTCTAAGCATAGTCAATTTAAATAAATTCAGAGTTGGAGGCAGCACTACTTTATGTAGCATGGGTGAATTTAACTGAATGATGCTAAAATGGGTGCGGTTCCATGAGCATAAAGATCATTTTTTCTATCTGATCTAGGAATGTCATAATAAAGTGTCTCTTATTGTTATGAAATAATTTAAAAAATTTAAGACCGCTGGAACGTGGTCTATTTGCACCTTTAATAAACCATGTGTATATGGTACAAAATTATATTTATCAGAAAAAAGAAATCTGTGCACTCATTCATAGACATTAACAGAGGCCTTAAAACCGCAAGGAGATGTGCCAGGCAGTGAATCTTTCCTTTAGCATAAACTATGAACTAGAGAGCTGATATTCTGGCATTCATGGAAGAAATCATTTCAGTACAAAGAATGAACAATGAAAATCACGAAGTTTTGGGAGATCAAATGTACTGATAGGCAATCCCATAAAATTAAGGAAAAAATAGTGATCTAGAGCTTTTTACTCATGTCTGCTCAATGAACCAGCAGCAGCATCACCTGGGAGCTTGTTAGAGATGCAGTATCTCGGGCCTCACCCCAAACCTAATGAATCAAAACCTCATTTTTAACAAGATCCCCAAGAGATTTGTGTGCACATTCAAGTGTGAGGAGCACTAATTCAAAGCCCAGATTTGGCAACCAGCCTGTGGGGGATGAAACCCCATCTCTGCCACTGACTAGCTGTGTAACCTGGAACAAGTTCTACAACCTCTGTGCCTCATTTCCCTCACTGGGTAGGATGGAGATAGTAATGGTGCCTATGTCATAAGGCTGCCAGCAGTATTAAATGACATAATATATGTAAAGTGCTTATGACAGTGCACGATAAGTGATCAATCCGTGTTAGTTCTTATATCTTCTTGGCAATCACAGGGATTGAGGCATCACACATCCTGATTTCAAACTATATTACAAAGCTATACTAATTAAAACAGTATGGTACTGACACAAAAGCAGACACACAGACCAAGGGAACAGAATCAAGAGCCCATAGACAACTCCCTAAATACATGGTCAACTAATATTTGACATGGGAGCTAGGAATACTCAACAGGGAAAGGACAGTCTCATAAATAAAGGGTGCTGGGTAAAGTGGATAATCATGCAGAAGAATAAACCTGGACTCCTATGTTACACTACTCACAAAAATTAACTCAAAATGGATTAAAGACTTAAAACCTGAAACTGTAAAACTCCTAAAAGAAAACATATGGAAAAAGCTCCTTGACATTGGTCTTGGCAATGATTTTCTGGATATGACACCAAAAACACAAGAAACAAAAGCAAAAACTCAGGAAACAGGATTGCATCAAACTAAAAACCTTCTGCAGAGCAAAAGAAACAATTAACAAAATGAAAAGTCAACCTACAGAACAGGAGCAAATATTTGCAAACCATATTTTGGATAAGGGATTAATATCAAAAATAAATAAAGAACTCACACAACTCAATAGCAAACACCACCTCAATTAAAAAAGGGGCAGAAGAACCGCATAGACGCTTCTCATTTTTGTTGGGTTGTATGAGTTCTTTATATTTTGGATATTGACCCTCTATCCAATATATGATTTGCAAATATTTTCTCCCAGTTGGTGGGTTGTCTCTTCGTTTTGTTGATGGTTTCCTTTGCTGTGCAGAAGCTTTTTAGTTTGATGTAGTCCCATTTGTTTTTCTCTTCCGTTTCCCTTGCCTGAGGAGATGATATCAAAAAATGGGTAGAAGACATGAACATTTTTCCAAAGAAGATATACAAATGGCCAACAGGCACATTAAAAGATGTTCAACATCACTAAATATTAGGGAAATGCAAATCAAAACTACAAGGAGATCACCTCATACCCGTCAGAATGCCTATTATTAAAAAGACAAGAAATAACAACTGTTGGAAAGGATGTGAAGAAAAATGAACCCTCATACACTGCTGGTGGGATTGTAAATTGGTGCAACCACTATGGAAAACAGTATGGAGATTTCTCAAAAAACTAAAAATAGTAATATCATATGATGCAGCTATTCCACTTCTGGGTATTTACCCAAGGAACATGAAAACACTAATTCAAAAAGATATCTACACCCCTATGCTCACTGCAGAATTTTTCAAAATGACCAAGACTTGGAAGCAACCTAAGTGCTCATCAAAGGATGAATGGATAAAGAAGATGCAGTGTGTGTGTATGCATGTATACACACAATGGACTATTATTCAGCCATAAAAAAGATGAAATCATGCCATTTGTGACAACATGGATGGATGTTGAGAGTATTATGGTAAGCGAAATAAGTCAGACGGAGAAAGACAATTACTGTATGACTTCACTCACATGTGGAAGATAAACACACAGATACAAAGACCAGATTGGTGATTACCAGAGGGGAAGGGAGTGCAGGGAAGGCAAAAGGGGTAAAGGGACACACGTGTACAGTGATGGATGGCAACTAGACTTTTGGTGGTGAACATGATGCAGTCTACACAGAAGTCAAAATATAATGATGTACACCTGAAATATATAATGTTATAAACCAATGTGACCTCAATAAAATAAGTAAAAAACACAGTAAGATATCACCTCACACCTGTTAGCATAGCTGTTATCAAAAAGACAAGAGAGAAGTGTTGGTGAGGGTGTGGAGAAAAGAGAACCCTTATGTACTGTTGGTAGGAATGTAAATTGGTACAACAACTATGGAAAACAGTACGGAGTTTCCGGAAAAAAATAAAAATAGAACTACCATATGATCCAGCAATCCCTCTTCTGGGTATTTATCCAAAGGAAATGAAAACAGGATCTTGAAGAGATATCTGCATCCCATGGTCATTGCAGCATTATTCACAATAGCCAAGGAAGTAGGAGGTCATGAGACAGACCTTGCCAAGGGATGCCAAGGGGCAGACACTTTGGTAACCACCCAACAGCCATTCCCCTCTTCTTTCTTCTCAGAACTTGCACCCAATGACAGAGGTTAGAACTGAAGGAGACTAACCTTCCCAGCCTCCCCTGAAACCAGAAGTGGCCAGCACTGGGCCAGTGACCAAGCGCTGGGTCATCAGGCAGAATGGAAATTCTTCAAGGATAGAATGTTCTACATGATAAAAAGAGGCAAGAAAAAAGCCTCAGACCATCCCTTTCTACTTCAGCTGTATGGGGACACAATGTTTGAAATGGCAGCAGCCACCATGCAACCTTGAAGAGTGATACAGCTCACACACCAAGAATAGCTGAGGAAAAGGAAAGGCTTGGGTTCTGATGACTTCCCTGAGGCTGAACCAATCCTGGAATGGCCCAGCTTTACACTGTCTGTAAAGTGAGGTAATAAATATTCCCATTATTTAGATCACGTTTTATTGAACATTCTGGTATTTGCAGCTAAAAGCACCCCCACTTATACAGCTGCCAACCACCTGCCTTAGGAATGAGCTGAGGACCCAATTAACAATCTAATAGTTTTTTAAATCATGTTAGGAAGATAGATTCCTTGTATTGGGTATAATTTTCTATGTGATGTTCAGAATCACTTTTGATTTTCTGTTAGCAGAAGCAAAAGGGAATAACAGTGATTTCATTAAGCAGCTACCCTGTGCCAAGCACTACACTAGGCACTTTATCTAGGCTGAGTCATCACAGCAACTTCCAGACCAGTCCCTTTTGGCTGGGAAAATAAAATCCCATCTATATTTTTTCAAATCTTATTTAAACAATTTAACATTTCCTTTCATTACAAATGCAGACCACAAGCCACGAGTAGTACTTGTGACTTTGCCACCTATAGAAATCACAGATATATTCATATCACACTGCAGTTGTTGAAGATATCTCGAAATATCATTGACCCTCATACATTTCAAAAGTACCATAATCCTTAAGCCTGCTGCAAAATCTTATTTAATGTGTTAATAAAGAAGCACATACGCTACTGCATTACACATTTTTTTAAATGTTTTCGTTACTGAATGTCGATATAATTGGCTTCCTTTGTAATCCTGTGTGCTTTATTTTATGCGTCTAAAAATGTTATTCTAAGAGGTACTGTAGGTCTCAGCAGATTTACAAAGGAGTCCTCGGCACAAAAGGGGTTTAAATTTCCTGTAACCAGTCCCCCTTGTGACCATTCTTAATACTGTTCAATCCACTGTCCATGCAGAAAACCAGAGTGATCTTTTTAAAAGGTAAATAAAACGAAGACCTTCCCCTGTTTAAACCTGAAACAAATGCAAACTCCTAAGTTTGACCCACCTGGCCCCACAGGATCTATTTTACCCTGCTCATGGCTCCTTCCCAGTCTCAAACTCCTCTGTCCCGCAGCCTTCCCTCACCCTGCTCCAGCCATGCTGGCCACCTTCCATTTCTTTGAAATCTCCAAGCAGTTTCCCACCTTGGGGGCTTTGTCCTTGCTATCCCCTTTGCTTGGAAAGCCTGCTCTTAAAGCAGCCACTTCATTTTCATGCTTCAGTGAGGAGCCAGGACATCACCTCCACAGAGAAGCCTTCCTTACTAATGTATGCTAGGCAGCAACCCTCCCCTTGCCTGCCCCGCCCCCAGTTATTTCCTGTTTACTTCCCTCAGAGCACTTCTAACAACATAATTATATTGATTTTTGTTCACTACTAAATCCTGGCATCTAGTAAGGAGGCCTGGCATACGTAGAAACCTGACACTCATTGAATGAGTGACTAAACAACAGAATAAGTGAATGAAGAAGCTATTATTAATCCACTTTACAAGTGAGGAAATTGAGGCTCAAAGATGTTAAATTATTTGTCCAAGATCACCCAGTGGCAAAGTTATTATTTTAACTATGCTCCCTAGGCCTCCCCTTAATCCCTCCACCATTTTTTCTAACTTCCTTTTCCCTGCTACATTTCCACCAATCTGGAAAGCAGAATAAACCCAAATCAAGCTTTTATGGTGTGATTTCTTGGGACTTCAGTGCCCCATTGCTCAGATATATGCCTAACAAAACCTCAAAGCTACTTCCTTTGAGTATTTCCAGGAGGGCCAAATTAAACAAAACTATATCAGGGCTAGCCTGGTGGCACAGCGGTTAAGTGCACACGTTCCGCTTTGGCAGCCCAGGGTTCACCGGTTCCAATCCCGGGTGCCGACATGGCACCGCTTGGCAAAAGCCATGCTGTGCTAGGCGTCCCACGTACAAAATAGAGGAAGATGGGCATGGATGTTAGTTCAGGGCAGTCTTCCTCAGCAAAAAGAGGAGAATTGGCAGTAGTTAGCTCACAGCTAATCTTCCTCAAAAAAAAAAATATATATATATATATCACCTGGATAGAGTGGTTCTGTCTCTGCATGTCTGTTTCTCTCTACGTGCACACGGATTTTCTTCATCTCATGCACATAAACACAAACAAAATCAAATGGAAGAAAATTCAGAAAAGGGTAAACTAAGGAAGAAAAAAATTAGATAAACCCGGGGTAAATGCTAAGTAAACAAAAATACATGGATAAGGCACTGTATGCAAGTTTATGTGGACCACAATTCTGGCCATATGCTTCCTAGTAACCAACATAAAGTGAGAAACAGTCAGTTACATGATATATTCTGAAGATTTAAAAAATTCAATCAATTTCCAGGAGGAACACAACTAGTTCTATTTCTAAGTCCTGAAAGAAATTCCTTTTGTGGGTCCTCATAATGAAAACACGGTAGGATATAGTAATCAGTATTCTAAGCTACAACCTTATAAATATATCAAGCTTCATAGAATTGTGTCTTATAACATACCTTAATAGACGTGGCTAGTATAATGCCAAACCCTATGCAGTATTGTATTGCCTTGCTAGTCAAAGTGTGGTCCTTGGGCCAGTAGCATCAGCGTCATCAAGGAACTTGTTAGTAATGCAGAATCTCAGGCCTGCTGAATCCAAATCTCTTTTATTAACAAGATCTGCAGGTGATGCCTATGAACATTCACGTTTAACAAGCACCAGTCTAACGGTTAAGCTTGATCTGAGGCAAAATTTGTAAGAAACTAGCATTCATTTAGTTCATTCATTCAACCAATATTTACTGAGACTGGCGGTAGGAAAGGATTTTTTAAATGTGACACCAAAAGCACCACCATAAAGGAAAATATTGATAAATGAGACACCATTAAAACTCAGTGATAATGCTAGCCAGAGAGTGGACAACATTTGCAACACCACCAAACAAAAGGCAAGTTGAATACCTAAATGTGTATCACGCACTGTCCTAATGCTGGGAATACAGCAATGAAACAAACTCTCTGCTCTTATGGAGCTTCCATTCTAATCGGTGAAGACAAACAAAACAAGTAAAATGAAACAAGAAAGGGGCATAAGTCAGGGGACAGGGTTGCAATTATAACAGGCCTCAGTGAGGAGGCAACAACCCGTACGAGGTCAGGGAGCTAGCTATTAAACTAGCTAGGGGGAAGTATTCCAAGCAGAGGGAACAGCAGGTATAAACACCCTGAGACAGTAGAATACCTGAAACAGCAAGGCCAGTGTGGCTGAAGCAGAGTGAGCAAGAAGCGGAGTAGCTATGCAGGGGACCAGATCATGTGGGACCTTGTCAGCCATTTTAAGTATCTTAGCTCTAACTGCGAGTGAGATGAGAAGCCACTGGAGAAAAGGTAATAGGAAGCCATTGCAGGATGCTGAGCAGGGAAATGACATAATGAAGTGTTCTTAAGAAGATTGGTTTCTCAGAGGTACGTGGAATGGCTTGACTGAGAGACTCTAGCTCAGAGGATACTGCACTAATCCCAGTAAATGGCGATTCATTCATTCAACTATTAGGTGCCAAAGATGTGCCAAGTAGTGTGGGGAGGATCTAGCCTAGGGTGATAACTGAGGGAACTGCCAGAGGAAAGGGAATACAAATGTCATTGGAGGGAAAGAAACCCAGGACACAATGACAGATTATTTAGAGAAATAACAGAAGTTCACAACTCACTTTAATCAAGGTTTGTGAATCATCTACTGAGGGCAAAGCCATATGCTGGCTAGGACATGGGAGTGGGGATGCTGCATAAGACTTGTATATTCCCCTCCAAGGGCTTCCAGCCTGGCATGCTTAGCCCCTGCCCTGCACCTTTCAAGCCTGAACTTGGATTGCCGCAGCCGAGGCCACCCCTGAGACAAGCTGATTTGCTCAGGTTAGGAGCTGTTTTTTAACCCTCAGAGCTTGAGCTATCTCCTGGGAGCAGGGGCCAAAGCACCTCAACTTGATTAGTATAAACAGAAAGATCCGGTTTGGCAGGAGGGCAGAAGAGAGGTCTTAATAAATGTCTTTGTGGATCAGCATTGCAGACTGGCCCTGGGCCACCAGTTTTGGGGCAAGAAGTCCTTCTGGTCTGTTTCCACCTGTATGACCTGATGGGTCTCCCACTCTTCCCCATTCCATTCTGGAGAAAAAGCCCCAAGGCATGGAAAGGGAAACAAGCAAGTCTAAGGAAAACAACTGGGGGAAAAAGAACAGATTTGAAAATTGCCTATTGCCAGACTGCAAGATCTGAGGCGCAGATGCAAATATAATGCAAATGATATGTAAATAGCCCTGTGGCCTTCTAAAAGGTTTTATACAACTGGAAGGGCCCTTGGGAAACTGCTAGCAGATAAGTGACTCAGAGGCAGAGAGAACTATTTCAAGACAACTTTGTCACACAGACCTTTGCTGCCCTGCTAGCACAGTGCAGTCTTTAGTAATCTTTTTTTCTCACTTGAATCAACCTCACCTGCTATAAATAAAAAAAAAATCAAGTCTGCCTCTGTAGAGGTTATCTAAGTTAATTACACTTTTAAAACACTGTGTACCTTTTTTTCAAATGCCTCTCACCCAAATAAAGCCAAGTTAAATGTGTCACTTCCTCCCTAGAACAGTATTTGCCTCCAGTGGGTTATGAATGAAAGTGACTCTCTTTCAGTTCTAGTTACTATGATCCTTTGGAGGATTTTTTTTCTTACTCCACAGGAACTGGTACATTCTCTTCTAATATCCACACGCTGTATTTGAAGTGAATCCAGAAAAAAAACTCATATAGTTGTGAAATCTAATTCACTTCAAGGAGCCACTGGAAAGCTATTCATTAAGAAAACCTGCCCCGTCAAGCATGCTGTCCTCTTGACAATCCTAACTACACATTTTAAAATGAAAAATTCATTCAATTACAACAGGGTAAAATTCTGTCTACATTTGTGTATTTAAAAGAAGACACCTCCATCAGACATGCATTTTATAACAGCCATGAGATGAACCGAATAGTAAGCAACACGGTAAGCACATCAGACCTACAGCTGGGCAGTAAGTCTGGGTTACAGACCCAGGGGTCACAGAAGCAACTTTCCTCCACATTAGTGATGGAGACAATGATAGTATCATCAGCCCCCAAACTTCCACTACTTTGCTAGTACTCTAACATTCGAGGATGCTTCAGCTTTTGACAGAAGAGTCAAAGGAAGGGAAATCCCTTCCATTTTCAAGGGTTTTTTTTTTTTTTTTAACCTTATTTGAAACGGCCTCCAAACTGCTACTGGGCGAAAAGGCATCTGGGGAGATGCCACGGTTAACGTAAAACACCAACAAAGCGCAAAGACTCGGCATCCCAACAAATGAGAAACTGAAAGAGAGACGGGGGAACACGGACAAAAGGAGAGAAACCTCAAGAGACTGAAGAAACGACAGCGCCCAAGAAAAACAAAGAGAGACAGCGAATAGCCAGGGGCGCTGCTCCCGGGGCTGGGGGTCCCGGGAAGGGCTGCGGGGCCGCGCGCGGCGAGGCGGGGCGGGGCGCGGCCGGGCAGGCAGCGAGCGCCCCCTCGCGGCCGGGGCTGCCTCTTACCTCCTGGGCGAGTTTCTGCTTGAGCACCAGCGCGGCGCACAGGTAGCCTGCGCGGCCCACGAACAGCTCGTCCGAGCCGCACTCCAAGAAGGAGACCGGCGCGCAGACGGCGCACAGAGCCCGGAATTTGCCCAGCGGCTGCACGTAGTCGGAGCGGCCCAGGGCGTGGTACACGAGCGTGGCCACAGCGTACACGCCCGCACCCCCGAGCAGGAAGGCGGCGCGGGTGTCGGCGTCCGGCTCGCCCCACTCCTCCGCGCGGGCGCACGCGTCTATGAGGCGCTTGGCCGAGCGCAGGTAGCGCTCCCGGGCCGCGGCAAAGAGCGGGCTCTGCGAGACGTGGTAGAGCATGTAGGCCACCCCGGCCACGCCGCCGTACAGCCCACCTTGGCAGCTGCTGGCCGCGGCCGCCGCCCCCCGGGCCTCAGCGCCGCCCCCGAGCGGGGGCAGCTCCTGAAGGATGCGCTCGATGGTGGCGGTGACCAAGGGCGCCACTGCCTCCTCACACTGGCCCGCCAGCAGGCTGCCCTGGTAGTCATCGAAGCGGTTGGCGAAGCAGCGCTTGGTGTCCATGCTGCTGCCCGTGCCCCTCAATGCCGAGCCGGGGTCCGCTTGAGGGCGCGCCCTGCAGCCCCACGCACCGCCTCTCGCTGTCCGAGGCACTCGGGATGGCGCTGGATGCGGCGGGGATGGAGCAAGGAGGCTGAGACGGGAGGTGACAAGAGGAGGCGGGCGCGAGGAAGAAGCTCGGAGCTGATTGCCAAGTGGGGCACCGGGCTGCCGCGAGGCTCCCGAGTGGCCCCAGCGAGCGCGGGGGATGCGCGTCGTACGCCCCCCTCCCAGAGGCCGCGCCCTCCCCGAACCCGCCCCCTCCTGCGCCGCCGCAGCTTGGCCGCCTCTCCACCGGGCAGAGGTGATCTCCGGCAGGACCCACGCGGGGCCCGCGCCACTCCTCCCGCCCCGCCCCCGGCTCCTCCCCTCCCGGCAGAAGGCCAGGGACGCGCGGGACACTGATCCGGAATGCTGAGTCTGGGCATGCATACACCTGACGGTGGAGGTGAAGACCACGAGTCTCTTGTATACTCAAAGTGTGGTCCTCGAGCCAGCAGATCGGCATCACCTGGGAGCATGTTACAAATGCAGCATCTCGGTCTTCGCCCCAGACCTACTGAATCAAAATCAGCATATTTAGCAAGATCCCCAGGTGATTCGCAGGCACATTAAAGGTTGAGAAGCCACTGAGCCAGTCTAGAGTACTAGGGAAAACCTGAGCGCCCTCCTGAAACTTGTTTTTCATCTCGGTCGCTTTGGAGTGCTCATTCTGAATGTTTCAATCCCAAAGATCTGAGGAGTTTGAGTGTATCAAGTTTCATGCATAAAACGGTGAAATGCCCCACTGAGAAAATCTTTCTTGGCCTTGATCGTGTTGTTTTTCTTGGAGTATACAGGAGTAAAAATTCAAAACCACACCAGGTTAAGGTAAGAGAGTGGGGGTTCTTTCTCCTACTCTAGAGACCCCTCTCCCATGCATGCCCAATAAATGTCTTGAGGTTATTAACTGGTTAATATAAGGGTAAACGCACGCAGCATGAGATTTTAATTTGGCTTTTTTTTTACTCTTTTCTGAATGTTTTTGGTTGCTTCCTTCCCTCCTTTTCTTCTCATGTTTTGTCCCTTCTGCTTTCCTTCCACAAGTGTTATTCAGGGTTTCCTATGTGTCCTGGACCCTGGAAATAGATGGATAAACAAGACAGACATGGTCCTAGACCTCCTGGAGCTTACAGTCCAGTGGGAAAGACAGAAAATGAACAATTAACAGAATGGCCTTTCTTTTGCTCAGCTGTTTTAAAATCATTCTACCTTTCCCAAAGTGTTGACCACGGAAGGTCAAAGAGGTCACCTCTCCCCGGGGTATTTGCATTTTGATGGGGACTGTACAAGACACCGAAGAATAAGCTCACGGAAAGCTTTCTGACACTGTGTGGGGAGAGCAACTACTCCACTTACTTGAAAGGCTAGTTTTGTTTGGAGGCAATTTTTTTCCTCAAAAGTGTTAATTGTCACCTTTATTTGGAAGCCGAGATTAAATAGCCTTCCCCTCCATCCTTGCTTGATGCATTCTGGAAAAGGAGCTCAGTTTGCCAAGATTACTGCCAGGACTGACACATCCACAGAGTAGATGGTATGGCCTCCATCCTCCTACAATGCTGCCAAAACAGGTTTCTCTTTAATTATAATAAAAAAGCTAAGTCCACTTTGGGGCAGGGAGCTTGATGGCTTAAGGGCATCAAAGGAGCAGCTGGAATGGTCTGTTTCTGTCGGGTCTTCTTCCTCTTCCGTCAATCACAGTAGGCAATGGGAGTGATTTTTGTCCCTTCAGACAGGAGACATGAAATGCAAAACTTCATGGGCAGAAATGAAGCCTAATTTCACTTCATTCCTCCGCACCTCCCCCTTGTCATGAATCTAGAGGCAACTCTGTTAATTCTGACTCTGGTTATCCTTCCACACAGCCCAGAACCAAGGTAGCACCAGCAGCAATGATAGGGACCTGGGCTGACTGGCTTCAAAATAGAATTGTAAGCGGGTCTCCAAGAGAAGGAGCCCTGACTTTGCCCAGCCGTGTCATTCCTTTATTGCCCCAAAATGCTGCATAACAAACAACCATAAACTCTTGTAGCATATAACAATAAGTTTATTGCTCGTGCATCTGGGATGTAGGCTGAGCTCATTCATGTGTCTGGGGGTGGGCTGGCTGTTGCCTGGGGGGACTGAGGCGACTGGGCTCTAGTCCACATGTCTCTCATCCTGCAGTGAGCCAACCCCAGCATGCTTGCGTGGGAATGGCAGAGGGGCAAGAGCACAAGGGGAAACATGAAAGACTTCTTTAGATCTAGTCTCAGAATTAACACACTCTTGTCTGCCTTATTCTGTTGGCAAATCACAGGAGGAAATATAGGGTGTCTTTAGGGAATGCCAAAGTTACATGACAAAAGGTGTATATACAGGGTGAGGTTGAAGTATTGGGGTTCCTAGAGGTTTCTCTTGGACAGTGATGCCAACAAGTAGAGCAAAGGTCACAAGATGGATATAAAGCAGCATGATTTGGAAGAAGCAAGAGGTTAGGGGTATCTAGAAGTCGCCTTAAACTCGCAGGACAAATTCACCCTGTAAGAACTAACCTATAAAATTCTTTCCCAAAGACCTCACCACTTTGTCTCTTGTACAGTCACCTGTCAAAACTTCAGCTCAGAACATTCTTCATGAAGCCTCACCTCTAATTGTCATTTACTTAATTCACAAGCAGTGTTATCTATTTCAATATCATGCCTCCACTAGAATACACTGTCCATGAGGGTAGGACTTTTTGTTACATTTATTTACTGATATGCACCTAGAGTCCCTGACACATGTTGTAGGCGCTCGTTAAAAATTTGTGAACTGATGAATGAATTGCCATAAGAGCACCATTAGCAAGGTAACCTGGAGTGTAGAATGCAGAGTGAAGCCTTTATTGAAAATTTAACCTGACTTTGATTAAACTCCCGTTGTTTTCTTGGATCCTTTTGCTCTTGCAAATGCAAGAATGTAAACATTCTGCAGGTTCTGCCTCCTTACTTTGTCCGTTTCTTCACAAAGTCTGGTGACCTCTATAATTTACCATGAGTTCACTGACTTCACACATTCTATATTTAATAACTAACCCTGTGTAGCAGATTATATTTTCCAAATATGGCCCCAACATTATCCCCTATGCCACATGCTGCTCTACAATGTGACCTTGACATTCTTGCATCAGGAGGGAGGGTATGCGTCCCCTCTTCTTGAATCTGAGTGGGCTCATAACTCACTTGTAACAAATAGAATGTGATGGAAATGGCAATGCATGACCTACAAAGCTAGGTCATAAAAAATGATGCAGCTTTCATCTTACATGCTGGAACACTCAGATTTGGAGCCTTGAGCCCCCTCGTAAAAATCTGACTACCCTGGGGCTGCCATATTGTGAGGAAGTGCAGACAACATGAAGAGGCCACTTGTAGGTGCTTGGTTCGACAGCCCAGCTGACAGCATCAACTGAGCAAAATATTATGAGCAAAATAAAACAGTTGTGTTGGGCCACTAAGTTTTAGGGTAATTTGTTATGCAGCAATGGTAACTGGAATATCCTGCTAGCTTCCCATTATTCAATGCCATAGAAGTCCCCTGTAATCAATAGTGCCCACTCAATAGGGCAATGAGAAGTTGGAGAGAGGCATATTTTGGGGGAATCTGGATCAGGAGACAAGAAGGATGCAGCCACACAGAAAGTTGTGTTTGTTCCCAAATAATAATTCTAGTTGGATTCTTTAGAGGTAGCAATGACCCCACAAAGAAATATGCAGCCTATACAGAATCTTGCCAAAACCATTTATTTTGCCCTGATCTGCAAGATTTGTCCTGATATTTACGGAATCTCTAGTAGCATTTGCTGACATGCAGCTCCCAACACATGGTTTCTGTGATCTTGCTGAATCGCCCAGTTTCTAGTTCTTCCTCAGTATTTCCTTATTATGCAGATAATGCAAAACTGTCAATGAAAAATAGTTTTAGTGGATTCATCAAGGAAATCACATTAAAATGATGCAAAATTATCCAGGAAACATGTATTAAAATCTAAAAGTTGCCTCTTAGGCAAATAATTGCTCTCTAAGGGTGAATATGAAAAAAAAATCAGTAATTGTATAACTGTCAAATTTCAACACTTAAGGTTTAGTACATTTTATGGGATAAACCATCTTAAAAATACTTTCAGAAAGTTTTCCAAAGTTTTGCTCACAGGGTGCGTTCTGGAAATGGTTTAGATAACAATCAGTGCCATGTCCAGTCCTTACAGCACATTCTCTTTGGAGATGCATCTCTGACTTGTTAGCTTAGCAACTTATTTAGAGACTTCTCCTGCTTCTGCTCTTTCGCCCTCTATGGGCCCTTTTCAAAACAGCAGCCAGAATGGTACAAGTCAGATCCTGTCTTCTAACTGATGTCAGTGTTTTTTCACTGTCAAAGTAAGATCGAGAGTCCATCCGATGGCCTAAAAGGCCCACTGCCGTCTGGCCCTCATTACGTCTCTAACCTCTCCTCTAATTCTTCTTGCCCTTGCTTCTGCAGTTCCAGCCACGCTGAGTGCTTTGATATTCCTCAAACATACCGGTCGTTGTCTTAACTTGGAGAGTTTCCTTTGCAGTTTCCTCTCCTGAAATAATCTTCAAAAGATACACTCATGACTTGCCCCTTCACTTATCTCTCAATGAAGTCTTCCCCGACTTATTACTTTAAATTACAACCCTTCTCCCCAACCATTAGTAACTAATAACTATATATTTTTATTGATTTATGTTGTTTCTTGTCTGTCTCCCTCCACTAGAATGTAATCCCCATGAGGACAGGAATTTTTGTTTCTGTTGTTCCCTGCTTTATCCCCAGTGTCTAGATTAGTGCCTGGCACACAGTATTTCCTAAATATTTATTGATGTCTGCAATACCCTTCATAATGTCAAAAACTTTTACCAATCCCTAACTGACAGCTATTTGCTGTCTGCTTTCTTGACCAGTTTCTTGGTTGTGCTCCTCTGTGCAGTCATAAAAATGTGCACTTTTTATTGAGGTATAATTAACATATAACATTGTATTAGTTTCAGGTGTGCAACATAATGATTTACATTTGTGTATATTGCAAAATGATCACCACAATAAGTCTAGTTAAGAAAATGTGCATTTTTAACATAGAATTTAATTCTCTTGGTTTTTTTCTACCTCCAGTATTATCAATTTTAAGCATGTTTTTAGCCGTTATAGGTCAAGCATGATCATCAGTACACAAT